ATGTGTGAGAGAAAAATATAAACTGCACAAAGGAGGGTGAATAAAAAGTTTTTTTAACTAGCCATAATTAGTGAGTGATTACACTAGTATATTTTTTCCTCATCTTACTATTTATATTTCTGATATAAGTGCTTGTTTCCACCTATACAATCTGAAAACTATAGATTCAAGGAACTTTGAAAAAACCAGTTAGCCTTAGAAATAGGAAAAACGGGGTGCCTGGGTGACTCAGTCAGTTGAGAGCCTGTCTCTTAATTTTGGCTCAGGCCATGATTTCATGGTTGTGAGATGGAGCCCTGTATAGGACTCCATGCTGGGCACGTAGCCTGCTTAAGATTCTCTTTCTCTCTCTGCTCCTCCCACCTCCCAAAAAAAGAAATAGGAAAAACTGTACCAAAACCAGGACGGACCCATCACACCTGTGGCTTTACACAATAACCCTGAATAGAAGGTCCTCCACAGTTAGTAGGCACAAGTGGGCACATACAAATCCAAATAGAAATAAGCTGAATGTCCCACATGAGAGCTCACTGTAAACTCAATCTTTATTATCACCTATAAAATAAACACTAACAAATATTAAATCCCTAATAATTAAATAGTGATTATTAATTAGGAAGTTGTTTGTTTTGTTTTGTTCAAGGACACCTAGCCTAGCCCAGTACATTTTCATGACAGGACAATGAATTGTGATGACATTGCAGACCATGCAAAACTTTAAGCACACATCACGTCCAATAAGGAAACGGAGTTACAAAAATAAAAATCTATATTAAAAGCAGAAGTTTACATGTTTGATGAAGTATAAAAAGGGATTCAGCATAATGGTCACCAGGTTCAGGTTCTAATCATCTTATATTGTGCAACCAAGTCCCAGGTACCAACCAAGAATTAAGTGCGAACTCACCCTTTCTCCCATATGACTTGGTAATCTGTGTCTTCTTTCCTTTTTTTTTTTCTTTGCATTTTCTAGAGGTTTATCAGTTTTATTAATTCCAAAAACAAAAATTTTGGCTTTATTTTCTCTATTGCACATTCATTTTGTTTTCAATATACGTAAAGTTTTATTTGAGTCTAATTGTTATTATTTTCCGTTTTTTTGCTTTCTTTGGGTTTAATTTAGTATCCTTTTTTTTTTAACATCTTGAGATAGATCATTAATTTATCAACGTTCTTTACTAGCAAATCTATATATTTTCCTCAGGTTCAGCTTTAGCAACATCACACGCTGTGATATATTTTCATTGTCATACAGTTAAAAATATTTTTATTTTTATTTATTTATTTATTTTTAATGTTTTATTTATTTCTAGGAGAGAGAGAGAGACAGCGTGAGCAGGGGAGGGTCAGAGTGAGAGGGAGTTACAGACTCTGAAATTGGCTCTAGGCTCTGAGCTGGCAGTCAGCACAGAGCCCGACGTGGGGCTCGAACCCACGAACCGCGAGATCATGACCCAAGCGAAAGTCGGACACTTAACCGACTAAGCCACCCAGGCGCCCCAGTTAAAAATATTTTTAAATTTCCATTGCAATTCCTTCTTTGGGTCACCAGTTATTTATAAATACATTGCTTAAATCCCCAATATTGAGGATATTTCTAGGCACCTTTTTGTTATTGACTTCCAGCCAAATTCCACTGTGATCAGAAGACATACAGTATGGAGGTGCCTTGGGTAGCTCAGTTGGTTAAGTGTCCGACTCTTGGTTTCAGCTCAGGTCAAGTTCTCATGGTTTGTGGAACTGAGCCCTGTGTTGGGCTGTGTGGTGACAGAATGGAGCCTGCTTGGGATTTTCTGTTTCCCTCTCTATCTCTGCCCTTCCCCCACTCGCTCTATCTCTCTCAAAAAATAAGTAAATAAACTTTAAAAAAGAAAACATACAGTATTATTTCAGTCCTTTAAAATTTATTGAGATTCTCTTTATGGTCCAGCATATGATCTATTTAGATAAATGTCTCATATGCATCTGAAAATAATATATACTGCAGTTGTAAGGTATGTTTTTCCCCATATGTCAGGTCATTTGTCAATTACACTCTTCCAATATTATACAGCTTTACTGGTTTTATATTGATTGTTCTGTCAGTGAGAAGTGCTGTGAAAAGTGAGAAAAGTACTAAAAATCCCCTACTATGATTGTGATTTGTCCACTACATCTTTTAGTTCTCTCAAATATATCTGAAACATTTTACAATGGTATGTACATTTAGGAGTGTAATATCTTACTGGTGGCCTGACCTTTTTATTGTAAACTATTGTTCTTTATAGCAAAGTTTCTGTTCTAAAGTCTGTTGTCATACAATGAAGTGGGAGTGTAAATTGATAAAATCATTTAGGAAAACTATCAGTGTACATTAAAGCTGAACATATGCATAACCTACAACACAAATATTGCACTCCTGTGGATATACCCAACAGAGTGCATTCATATATGCACCAAAAGACATGTATAAGAATATTCAGAATAGCCTTGTTCATAACAGCTCCAATCTGAAATCTTGAAAATAACTCAAATGCCAATAATGCAATAACTCAATAATGGAATGGATAAATTGTGTTCTATTCATACAATGGAATTCTAACCAGCAATAATAATGAATGTCCTACAACTACATGAAGCAACATGGATGAATCTTGCATATTCACAATACATAATATTATTACATATTACATTCATATTACACATGAAATATAATGTTAAACCAAGAAAGCCAAATACAAATTGTGTGATACTACTTACATAAAATTCCAGAACTGGGAAAATTAATCTATGGCAGTAGAAGACAGAATAACAATTATCTTTGGGAGAGGTGAGTAGTGAATGGGTGGGACAAGAATCGGGCTTCTAAAATGCCGGTAATGTTCTGTTTCCTAATATGATTAGGGATCTGGTTAAATGAATATTCTTACTTAAAAAAAAATTCACCAAGTCATATATACTTTGATTTCTCTACTTTGTAATGTATGTTATACTTTAAAAACAATATCATATACCTTTATGTCAGCAGAGAAAAAAATTAAAATGCCAAGGTATTAGAATACAGAGGACTATGTTTATAAACTACTGGTAGGAATTTAACTGGTACACCGTATTGAAAACCAGCTCAGCATTATCTAGTAAATTTGAAAATACACACATATGCTTTGGCATGGAAATTCCATTTGTATGTTTATACCCTAGGAAAGCAAGCATGTGTGCACCAGAGTACTTATAACAATATGCTTAGAGCAGCCCTTTCAAATGAGCCAAAAACAGGAAACAACCAATATTTAAACATACAGCTGTGATATAACAATAAGGGTAAGTCTAAGAAATACAATATTATGAGAAAAACAAGACTCAAAACATTACCCAGAAGAATTTAATTTCTATAAAGTTAAAAAGGCAAAACTAGACTACATTGCTTAAGGATGTGTAGGTATGAGGTATTGTTTTTAGTTTCTAAACATCAACAAAAATATATTATCACCAAAGTCAGAGTAAGAGTTACCTAAAGAGGTGAAAAGAATAGTTCATTCTTAGGATTAATAGAGGCTTCTTGAGGGCTAACACAAGTTTCTGTTATATTAGAGGTGCCATATAATTACTTCTTAAACTGTCTATATTTTAAGCACTTTTGTATATGTATGTAATATTTAGGAATTTTTAACAAAGGAAAAATAAACTATATAACAGCTATAAATTTTTACTGAAAACACAAGATAGGAAATGATGAATGCTATGAGATTCTAATCTTGAAAATAATGTATACCGTATGTACATAGGAAATCTGTTAGAAGGAAATTGATTGAAATATTGACAATGGTTATATCTTGGTAGTAGGAGATTACTTTTGCTCTCTGTAACATCTCATTTTCCAAATTCTTTAATCATGGTGTGTGTGTCTAAAAGAAGCAAAAGCTTAATACATAGGAGAAATTGAGCTATTTTCTTAATTAATATGTGAACACTATGTAGAAGGAAATGATGGCGAATAATGGGATCCATGTGCCCACCCTACAGCTTCTCATGATTTTCTCTAATGGGAATTTGTAGGAACCAGGTCACTTGATGAGTTTATGTTAAACAAGGCCATCCAGAAGAAAAACAAAAAGTAAACCCCATCGCACCTTTTATTTGGCTTGGTCAACAGCCATTCCTCCTTCTTCCTCTGAGGACCTATCTAAGAAGTGCAGAGCGGAGGAAGGAGAAGGGAATATGAGATGCCAGACCTATCTTGTGGTGCAAACAACCAGAGCAGTAGCTGTGGACTCACACCTACCACTTATGGAGAGAGATTAGAGTCTATGCTGTTGGGAGCATTCCTGTCAGAGCATATCAGAAGGGGAGAAGCCTCTGCTGTCCAAGATCAAAATCTTGTCTTGACCTCACACAACCACTGGGACAACAGACACTGCCACCCTGCCTGGCAATAATTACAGGCACCCTCCAACTGCACACACGGTGCCACAAAAAGTTACATGGTCATACTTAACACGTCTTCACAGAGTCACAGACATGCAGTAGGGTTAGTGTTGCCAAAACTCATACAACCACAATTACACGCACACATAGACCCCTCAGGCAACAGTCATAGTCGCATAATCATAAATTCTGTACACGCTCCACCTCCTAGACACGATGTCACACAAAACGAACTCTCACAATCACAGACCCACCATGGGGACAGCCACACCTACACACACAGAGCCGCACAGTCAGAACCACACATTTACAACAGATCTCCAGTTACACCCGCAAACAGAGATCCGCGCATGGTCAGTCGCAATGACACACCCACCACAGAGACAATCACACCCCTACACAGCGCGCCGCACAGTCACATAAGGTCACATTCGCACACATGGAATCCTGTTCCTCTTGCCCCTTTCCCCAGTCCCAACAACTCACACATGCCTGAGACTACGGACCCGCCCCGACCGCCCCTTCAGACTGCCCCTTTCAACCTACGAACACACCGGCGGCGGCGTGGTGGAGCCCCCAAAACCTAGGCCGCTCACCTTGCAGTTACCCTTCTCGGGAGGCCGAGGGTCGGGCAAGCGAGTGAACAGCGGCCCTGTTCCTGCGGGGGCCTCTGGGAAATGTAGTCCGGAAGGAGTCGGCTCATACAAGATGGCGCCTGGTGATTCGACATCCTGCAAGCGCGGAAACCTGGGCTAAACCAATATCCTTGCTCCCCTCGCCATATCGCTGCAAGGGGCTGTCCAGATCCAAGCGCAGTCTCCAAGTTAGCCTCCCTCAGGAGACAACTTCCTTCATGGACCTTGCCAGCCCCTGAGAGCCACATATTTCCTAAAAATAGAAAAAGTTTGCTGGGTTCCCACGGAAGTCGTTTAGAGCCGAAAGAACTTCTGGGAAATGTAGTCTAGAGGTGGAAAGTGTGAGACTGGTCCCATGTAGATTGTCTTAGATGACTGAACTTCAGCACAGTGAAGAGTGGAGCCTCGCCCAAGGCTTTTTCAGGACTTGTATATGTTAACATTAAGAACAAAACTGTCAGGGGTACCTGGGTGGCTCAGTGGGTTAAGTCTCCAATTCTTGCTTTCAGCTCAGGTCATGATCTCTTGTTGGAGAGGTAGAGCCCAAGTGGTGGTCGAGGCCAAGAGCATGGAGCCAGCTTGGGATTCTCTCTTTCCCTCTCTCTCTCTGCCCCTCCCCCACCCTCTATAAATAAACATGTAAAAAAAAAAAAAAACCCTGTCAGTTATTTTACCACCAAAATGGGTTTGTTGGGAATAACAGAATTGCAATTCAGGGCAAGGAAGCTCTGCCAAAATGGTAGGCAAGCCCAGCAAACAAAGGAGAGCAGTAGCTATTTAATGGAAAAGAAGGAGGAAGTTGGGAGGGATTGTTCTGAAGGAAGTCCACTGGAGAAAACCAAGATAATGACAGTTTATTATTGGCTGAATTGCAGTGGTAGTCAATTTCTTATAGGTGATGCAATGTACATTTCCCCCTTTGGGGCCTGTAATTTACATCCTTTCCTGTTGAGAGTCCTTAATTGTCAATTCTTCTTAACTGACAGTGCCTCTTCTAGCCTCCTGACTCTAATTTAGTGAGGTCTCCCTGTATTAATAATCTCACTGAGACTACCTGGGGCTGACTGACTAAATCAACATTTTTTGCCTTTGTCAGTGGATGAGGGTGGAGCAAGACCCGGACCCTATTCAGGAATCACACAAGAAAACGGAGGTGAGTAATCAAACAACTTGGAAAGGGGCTGATGGCAGGTTGCCTGGAGTGTCAGGCTGTGTGTGTGTGTGTGTGTGTGTGTGTGCGTGTGTTGAAGATGATAGTGGTAACTCTGAGGATGGCCCCAATGTGTGTAAAGTGATATGTGAAACTGTATGAATTACCTCATTTACTTAATCTGGAAATGAATGGTTCTTGGTGCGCATGTTCTGGTACCATCAATTTTACTTGACTTTTGGAGAATCAAAAAGCAAACCAAGTGGTATAATATATAGTTTCAAACATGTTTTTTATAAAATCATATGTCTGTTCCTTGCATATAGCTGTGAATCCCATGCCTTCCAATGTCTTAGGGATCTTCTTTTCATGTGTACAATTTCTGCCTTCTTCTACAGCATTTGTTGTTGTATTTTATTCCTCTCCGGTCTTCCATGTTTTGATCCCTGATTCCCCCAACTGGGGGGACAACAACAAAAAAAAGAACTTATTAGTATGATCAGTACAACAACTTAGATATAAATCTTACCCCTTTAACCTCTTGGAAACCATTAAAGTCACAAATCGGGATCAAAATAGAAAAATCCAGTTTCAGTGAGGTTCAAAGAAAAGCCCACGAATTCCAAAATACATGTGAGCACTTCCTAATATAGTTGAGATTAGGTAAAAGAATTTCAAAGAATGAAAGCTGGTAAGCAGAGGTGAGAAGTGGTGCTTAGAAGCTGGTGAAGCCTATTACTAATGGTTCCAGAAATGGCAGGGGTGGGAGGTGGAGTGGAATCACTTCAAGAAGACTGGGAGCTTACTTTGCAGTATAAACTTTGGAAATGGAAATGCCATGAAGAGGGTGGAGGTCAAGCAAAGTGATATCAGGTGGAACCCATGTGCCAAGATCAGGACAGTCATGTTAAAGGAAAATTGATTTGAAAAATTAGAATATGTCTCAGTTTTTACCAAAGTTAAGATAAAAGAAGACTTGAGTGTCCAAAGAAAACCTCAAGTTGCTTAAAGGAGAGAAACATCAACTAGTGTCAGGTTTATACTCAATAATATTTAGCACCACAAATCAGAGGAACAAAGCTAAAAGATAATCAAGGACATGAAAGCCAAAAATTTTTGTCCACAGTCAAGCTGCAGTTTAAGTATAGGTATCATTTAGAGTCATCCTAAAATAAGGATGTGAACTAAGGTGACTTGAGAGCCAAGGGTAATAACATAAAGGTGAGTTTGTGCTAATTGAAAAAAAAGGATGGCTATTAAGATGTAAAAACAGCTAAAAACAAACCAAACCAAAAAAAAGGCACTAAAGTTTTAGCTAAGCCTGGTGTGATTGGAAGAGGATGGAGGAAATGAAATAGAATAAGTCAGACTTGATGGAACAGAGTTTTCATGAGAATTCTTTAAGACCAGAGAGTATGAATGCAGCTATTACAGAGATGAGGGTAGAAAAGAACTATGAGGAAGAAAGTAAAATGTGAAGTAAAATGGCTTGTTATGAATATTGTATGCTTCAGATTATGACAAACCTGAGATTCAAATCCTAGTCCTGGAAATTCCCATCTGTGACACTGAACTAATGATTTGTGATGTATGCACAATATATTCTACATCATCAAAAATCTTGAACACAGTATTTTTTTTCAGAAGTGTCATATGGATTAAGGAAGACATGTGTAAACCTTACACAAAGTAAGTTCTCAAAGGCTATTACATTAAACACTTTTCAACTCATTATTTGAGGCTAGTATTAAACATAGAGTTACTGTGTGACCCAGTAATTCCAGTCCTATACATACACCCAAGAGAATTGGAAATATACATTCATGCAAAAACCCGTACACAATTGTTAATTGCAGCATTATTCATAATAGCCAAAAGTGGTAACAACCCAAATGCCTATAAGCAGATGAATGGACAAAGAAAGTGTGTTATATCCATACACCAGAGTATTATATGGCAATAAAAAAAATGCCATAACACAGATGGCCCTTGAAAAAATTATTGTAGGGGCGACTGGGTGGCTTAGTCGGTTAAGTGTCCGACTTTCGCTTAGGTCATGTACTCGCGGTTCGTGGGTTCGAGCCCCGCGTCGGGCTCTGTGCTGACTGCCAGCTCAGAGCCTGGAGCCTGTTTCAGTCTGTGACTCCCTCTCTCTCTGACCCTCCCCTGCTCACGCTCTCTCTCTCTCTCTCCTAGAAATAAATAAAACATTAAAAAAAAAATTATTGTAGGTGAAGAAGCCAGTCACAGAAGACCACATTTCATTTATAAGAAATGTCCAGAATATGCAAATCGATAGATACAAAGAGGAAATTAAGAGTTATTTAGGGTTAGCAGGGTTCAGAGGAATTGAGAGTGATTGCTGATAGGTATAGGGTTTCTTTTTGTGGTGATAAAAATGTTCTTGGATTAGATGATGAAGATAGTCATACAACTCTATGGATGTGCTAAAAGTGACTAACTTGTACAATGTAAGAGTTAATTTTATGGCTTGTTAATTATATTTATGTCCATACTTTTAAAACGTTTATTTTTTAGTAATCTCTCCATGCAACCTGGGGCTCAAACTCATGACCCTGAGATCAAGAGTTGTATGCTCTTTGGAGTGCCTGGGTGGCTCAAATGGTTGAGCGTCCGACTTTGGCTCAGGTTATGATCTCATGGTTCGTGGGTTTGAGCCCCACATTCGGGCTCTGTGCTGACAGCCAGCTTAGAGCCTGGAACCTATGATGGTGCTTGCAAGTAAGAGGATGATCAGTGTATTGAAATGAACTAGAGCAGTAATTATTAAGCTTTAACGTAGTTTCTAGGGGATGAAAATGAAAATTCCCTTCAATTCAAACTGTAACCACAAATTTTGCAGCTACTTGATTATGTGCTCCCCCCCCCCCCACACACACACATTTTCCTAAGAATCACAAGGAGGGACATTTGTGGGGATGAGCACTGAGTGTTATGTGGAAACTAATTTGACAATAAACTATTTGTAAAAAAAAAAAAAAAACGGAGGGAGATGACCCCCATGACAAAATAATAATAAAACTTTTTTAATGTTTATTTATTTTTTGAGAGAAAGAAAAGAGCATGAGTGGGGGAGTGGCAGAGAGAGAGGGAGACACAGAATCCCAACCAGGCTCCAGGCTCTGAGCTGTCAGCACAAATCCCCATGCAGGGCTAGGCATCAGACTTTGGCTCAGGTCATGATCTGGACACAGAATCCCAAGCAGATCTGTTTGCAGCTTTGAATCTAAGTTGTCTCCTTCAGACAGCGTAGAGTTGGGTCTGGTTTTTTTTTTTTGTTTTTTTTTAAATCAAGTCCAACAGTTTCAGCCTTTCAGTTTGATTGTTGAATCAATTCAAACTTAATTGATATTGATGGCAGGCATAAATCCAACCAATCTATATTCTCGACATTTGTTGTTATCCCTTTGTTTTGTTTTGTTTTGGTTTTTTGTATCCTAATGAGTGTGAGTCATCCTAATGAGTGTGAAGTGGTATCACACTGTAGTTTTATCTTGCATTTCCCTAATGATTGAACATCTTTTCATGTGGTTATTGCCTATTTGTCCATCTTTGGAGAAATGTTTACTTATGGTTTTTGCTCATTTTTTAATCAGGTTGTTTGCATTTTTGTTGTTGAGTTTTAGGGGTTCTCTATTATGTCCTGGATATTAATCTCTTATACGTGATTTGCAAGTATATGCTTCTATTCTGTGGGTTGCCTTTTTATTCTATAGAGAGTGTCTTTTGATGCACAGAAATTTTAAAGTTTTATGAAATCCAATTTGTCAATATTTTCCTTTTGTTGCCTGTGTCTTTCATGTCATATCCAAGAAATCATTGCCAACTCTTATATTACGAACTTTGTACCA